ATTGTTTGGCACGTACCAGACTGCACAGTCTCTAACCTCTGTGTCAGTACTAGTAGTGCTTTGAGTTCGCGCTCGAACGGAATTGTAACTTCAAGCTCACCAATGACTACCAAGCCCGCGGAAACGCCCACTTTCACCGCAGAAGCCCAGTTAACCGCGAAACACGACGAAAGGGTTAAAGTTATCGTTGGAAGCATCATTGGCGGGGTCGCATTCCTGTTATTGGTATTGATAGGTGTCATACTTTATCTGCGCCGCCAAAGAAGAAAAAAAGGCCCAAATGAAGGATTCCGGCAAGACATAGCAAATGGCAATGCTAGAGGCCCGGGGAAAGATGGTAGGAGAGAAGAAGCTAAGCCCACTAGCAGACGTTCGAAAGAGATCTCCATCTCATCGACTACACCGCTTCGGGAGGATTTCGTAGGCGACGCTGAAGGCGACCAAAGCTCGCTGTCTGTCTTATCAACCGGCAAACGGTCCCTCACTGTCTCCGGTATCTCTGGCAGAAGCAAGTCTTCCTCTGAAGGGGCAGTGGATATTCCGATACTGCCGCTCATACCGGTGTTGATCAACCCTCCTCTGTCAACGGATCACTCGAAGACGCCTTCGCGCGTACGGACAGATCGGCAGACGCAAATTGAGCAGAGAATTATGGAGCTGCAAGGGCGTTTCATCACGGCCTGTGGATCCAGAGAAGAAAAGAGTCGGGTGAGGGCGGGATTGCATAAAAGAATCGAGAACCTGAAAAATCTTCGAGACTCTGAGTGGGCGTACGGTGGGAAGGGAGAGATACCGGAAGTTTTGATTGACTGATCAGGTTCGGACCGGTCCACGCCCGGTGGTTTTTTGCCTACGAGCATTTCAACAGGATGTTCGAAAAGGTTAAACTCAATGGCCGCAAGGGTGGCGAAATAGAGCTGGCGACTGTGCGGTCTAGACTCATCTTATCCACGAATACCTGAAGGAAATACCTAATCCACATCCTAAAGAGCTTGCTGCCATTGACAGGATCATCAGTAGCATGTCCAATAACAAGCATTATGGGGCTACGGGGACTGATCTTCGCATTTTCGAGACTGTGGAGTGATTCAAGTGCCAGCAAGTTAGTAGCATGAGACACACTGAGAGCTCTGTTCCCTGACATCTTAGAATCCTACCATTGGAATGTAAATTCGGGTTGGGAGATGAATGTATTAATACGTTCTCAGTGAGTTGAAGCTGACGGCTGGGAGATGTGAGATGCCGTTCATTCCAAGAAAAAACCTGCGAATCTGATGTTCACTCTTGTCGGCGCTGAGCGTGTGGAAATCTTGACATTAGACAAAGGAAAGAACCTCCGACTAGTCACGAGAGTGATGATCGCCTCGTTAATGGATCTACCCAGAGCTCACAAGACCTAAAGATGGTATGCAGAGAGTATCTTGGTCCTTGGCAAGGCCTTATCGTTTTTGCCCGAGGTCATGGTGTTCGAAGAATGAAGAGATAGGTACACAGCACAGTCCGAATCGACGGCTGGAGAATGACTTTCAGGGTTCATTGCAAATAGCTCATCGGAGCCGGAGTATGAGCTCTGCTCAACGGATTTCCTGGTGCAAGAGCCGTCTAGCCCAGGTGTATTTACATTCTTGTCGTTGCCCAGTGTATCCGTTATGGTGTAGTGGCTAACATTATCGCCTCTCATATAGATGTTCTTTGACGCTCTTGAAGCGCGATAGCCCAGGGTTCGATTCCCTGTAACGGAATAAGAATGGATCCACCCATAGTTTTTGACGGGCGGCAACTTGTGATATTGTGGTACGGTCCTTTCCTTCCTAATACAATAGTGGCCTGCGACGTGTGGTGTTCTGGACCGTTTGGTTATTTTCTCTCCACCACTCAGCACCTTCCCCGGAAAACGTTGGCCGGCCATATAAGGGTAGCGGCCATATTTGGCCATTTATTCCCCATTCATGGGGGATTATCCGAATAATTTGGGCCTTTTTTATGGCCTTTTTTGGATAAAGTTATGCATAAAAGGCCTTATTAGGTCATTTGGCAGTGTGGCGACAGAGGATACTCCGATCGTTCCGTCCTTGTTTTTGAGCTTTGGGTATGAAGAGACAAATTCGGCATTCTGTTTTCCGACACTGGGGTGGAGGTACTGATTCAATCATCGTAAAGAAAGGCGGGTAGATATATAATTAGTCGCCATTCTACTTAGTTTCGCCTCGACATGACCTTTCCAAAGTTGCAATTCGTCTGCCAGCGATAGTTCTGAGGCTGAGTGACCCCAAGGCTCAGTGAAGTTGGAATTTGGCACCTCAGGGAGCACTTATTGTAATTTGTACGTGAGCAAGAACGAATGAAGAGTTGTTCCAAATGTGTTTGGATATACCAGTTCGAATTTTGAGGTTGAGTCGGAGTCCTTTCTAGCTGCTTTCTCCAGCGGGTTGGATTGGTCGGGTGTTATGTTGTTCCATGTAAGTATCATGAGTGGTCCTTCAATCGCGAATGTAAATTCGGGTTGGGACAGACAAGGGTATCAATACGCCCTCAGTGAGTTAAAACAGAAGGCTGGAAGATATGGGATACCGTTCAATCCCAGAGAAAAGACGTGTGAATTTGATCTCCTCATCGGCGCTGAAACGTGTGGAATTTTGACGAAGAAAAGAATTTCCGACTAGTCACCAGAGTGATGATTGCCTCGTAAATGGATCCACCCAGAGCCTCAAATAGAGCGGGCGGGCAATATCAGATTTACCCCGACCTTGAGTGGTTTCACGAAAAAATTAACGATCGAGGAGGTTATCGAGTGAGCTTGACCTTCTTTCCTCCACACCGATTATGGAGTACTTGTCGTATCGTTGAAAAAAGAGATCAATGAGGGTAAGGTCTCTGGGAGTACGATTCTACTTATTGAAGGGTTAGTCCTCTCCACTTCTCTGTTCATAAGTTGAGGATACTTGAGCAGAGACAGTACGAGGTTTTATTTCTTTGACGCCCGAAATTCTTCCCAATGTACCAAGAGTTTGGATCTGTTAATGAAGGTCGCGAACTACCGCTACCAAGAAGGATTGACAGTGAGTCATGGAGTACTTCCGATGTTCTTTGCCAAGTCTTCGTCAGAGCCTAGAGCCTAGTGGTCATGGAGGTCACTGTGAATCAAAGAGGTAGGCACAGGCCCCGGGCTCGGTGAGCTCTCCGACGGGTCTCTAGCTGGAGTCTTATTAGGTTCAACTGGCGTTACTCACTCAGAGGCACCCAGAGGGTATTTCTGAATATTAGATAGACTAGATTTACAATCGTGTAGCGGTATATATATAGAAAATTGTAGCATGTACTACAGCCTCCGTTATGGTGTAGTGGCTAACATTATCGCCTCTCATTTCGGCAGTGGATGAGGTGTCGCGATAGCCCAGGGTTCGATTCCCTGTAACGGAATAGCCCTGAATGATTCATTTTCTTGCGTGCAGCGCCTTATGACGTCACTGTCCTTTTTTCTCCCTCCTACTATCACCAGCGACGCGTGGTCTCTCTCCTCTTTTTCCTGTCCTCAACACCCCCCCGGTAAAATGGACCCCAGAATGCTTCAAACACTTCAGGCCGCAGGTGGCAGCGCTAGCACCAGTCAGAAGGAAAAAGGCGACGTACGTTTTATCTTTGCGTCTCGATCAGATAAAAACCGATAACCTTGAAAAAAAAAAAACAGGTTTCTCTCCTCCAATTCCTCGACCTTCAACAACTAAACTGTCTTAACGAGACGCCTGATCACTCGTTGAAAGGGATCGTTCAAGGGAAAACGTTGAACACGAATAGTGGGAATTGGTTGCAGAGCGATGCAGATGAGCAGCTGTTGTTGAATGTTACTGTGCGTACCTCGTCAATTATTCTTTTTTCTTCTTTCTTTTTGAAGGCCTTCGTCTTGTTCTCTACATCTTTTTGTATGTATACTGACCTTTCATCTACCCAGTAGTTCAACCAAACCGTCCGTGTCAAATCTATCATCATCAAATCGACCGAAACGGCGAAAGCACCAAAGCTCATTAAGCTCGCGGTGAACCGACCGTCGATAGGTTTTGAAGACGTTCAGGATGCTACAGAGCCTGGTGTTGCCCAGATTTTCGAGCTGTCGGAAGACGATGTGAAGGAGGGAAAGCCGATCGCGTTGCGTTATGTGAGGTTCCAGGCGGTGAATAGTTTGCATGTGCGTTGTTGTCTTTTTTCTATTGGGTTCAGTGGGTCCCATGTTGACTTTTTGTTGTCAGATATTCGTTGCGAATAACCATGGAGATGAGGAAGAGACGATCATAAATGGGATCGACGTGATTGGGTTGCCTGTAGAGTGCGTTGTCGTGTCTCTGTTTTCTCACTCGTATAATGACTGACTGCCTTTTTATCTAGGACGACGAAGGATCTCAGCGGGCTCAAGCAGCAGGAACAGTAGACAACAAAGAGAAGATAGATTACGAGTTCTCCGTGTACCATCAAGCAAACGACCGAATATCCACACAATCCTGTTCAATATCCCGTGCTATCAGACATCATACGAGGGCAACGGCTATGCTGTTGTACATTAACGAGTACTGCCCGCGGATCCGTCGAGGTAGTCTGAGGTGGCTCCGTTCGAGCTCCCAGAGAGACACCCCTTGGTTCGTTTCACTCGACGGAGTCATCGGTCTGAGTATGTACGACGCTATCAACGGCAGCTCTATTTTCTGTGAGCGTACTTCTCCATTCTCATCAAGCATTCCCCCACGTATGTCTAAGAAATTCCAATAACGTCGCTCCGTGCCGTTGCGTTCACCAACCTTGAATAACTCGATCATTTGCCTTGCCTTTTTATGCTGCGTCTCTATCCAAATCAAGACTGGCAGCGTTACCTGTAACGGGATAGAAAAAATAAGTCAGGACACGGAGATTCCGTTACAGGGAATCGAACCCTGGGCTATCGCGCTGATACAACTATGAGAGGCGATAATGTTAGCCACTACACCATAACGGAGCTGTCAGGTTAAACGTCTGATCTGGATCCGATGACAATGCTATCGACTGAGTGGTGAGTGCGCTGTACACTGAAAGTCGACACGACCTTGGAATTTCTCATGGAGGTAAGTCCCTGTTCTTTACGCATCACGCACGCTACACGCATGACTGGTCTATATCTGTGACGAGACGACCAATGCAAGAGGCTTTCGGTCATTTCATCATTCAAAAAGGCTTCTTCCGGTTCAACTAATCTTGTTGTCCGGGTATCGAGAACAGGCATCCTCGGTGAGGTATCGTATTTGTATAGTTAATCCGACTCCATAGTACTCCTACTGCTCGTTGAGTTATAGCTGTACGATTGGCACCTTTATTTTGGTCTTTGCGCCTCAGGATCCGTGCTCTCGATTTTGCTACCGCGCTCGCCAATATCCACAAGACTCACTTCGTGGTTTGGGCGTGCCGCAGCAAAACTTTCTATAAAAGACCGTTTGTCGTCAATGGCAACGCCGAGGGTAGCCCGAACGATGACAATAGTCGATGCGATTCCCTGTAATGAAGACGCGTCAACAGAGAATGAAAATGAAGTACAAGTCGATCTGACCATGACTGGGAGCAACGAGTGATAGGTGGTTTCAGCCAACAGTTCGACTCTCAATCGTTCCACACCCGCATTTATCCCTCCGCCTAGACTGTTGAGGACTTTGGCTCCTACTCCAGTACTTGCATGCATGATAAGTATCACGGGGTAGATCATGCCGGACTCTAGACTGTGAAATGATTTAATGGACCGTTGGAAGACTGCGATCATTGTGGGTCTACCTACGTAGCAGAAATTGCGGTTCGATATATTCGTTGGTGAGAGCCTCCTGAGGGAAGATGGCGGGAAACTTGTCGACTAATATAGATGATCCTCCCAGCTTCGATGCCGAGAGTGAGGGAATGTCAGTTCTCGTGGGCTTAGCCAGTAGTGATAGGCTATCTCACCGATCATCATTGTCAAAAAGACATTGCTAAGAGTAGCGCACACCGTAAAAGGAAAGTTGACGAACGTCGCAAATCCGTAGACTAAGCCATAAAGACAAGTAAGTCATACGAAACAAGATGGAAGAGCTGACAATAATCTCACTGTTGACCGCAAAGCAGAAGAGAGCAGGAGCGACGATGTACCGGAAGTTTCGATTCCAGAGCAAGTAGCATCGACCCAACTAGCGTAGAGAGGCTCCCTGTTACAAACATAACAGGAATATGAGCTAATACTCACCAGCAGAATGTCAGTCATGCAGCTGGTGGACGAAATGAGCTAGAAGGCCAGATTCAAGACAAAACAACTATGAGAGGACTTACTTGCCGAGCAGTGTCAGAATCTGTAGGCCAGAGGTCCAAATTTTATACCTATGGAGAAGAGTTGCAGAAAGGCGTTCGTTCAGCCAACTGACGGCCTGGGTAGAAGACCTGGGGCATACTGCACGGCATTGTATACCTTCAGATCCCGAAGCTTCCTTAGAAAGATTGCATTTTCCGACGGATTTTTGCTGGGCGGCAGCAATTCGCGAGACGCATTGAGGAAGGGTGGAAGATTTCTGGTGTACCATACGAGAAATTGCTGAGACCTGCACTCTTCAATGAGGTAGTGAAATGCAACGCCGATTGTTGCGAGAATAAACAGGATCGATATCAACCCTCCGAGAAGATGGTAGCCACCACGCTTCCGTGTAAAAAGAATCCACATGCATGTAACATAGAGCACCACATATGCACCTAGATAAAAGGTTCATTTGAGCAGAGCACAGATTTCATGAAGAGAAACAGCAAACCATATAGTGAAAAGACCACCTAATCCGATGATTTACGCTTAGTTGACTGCTGAGGAAAAAAGTAGGAGTATGTTCCGAAGCACGCACAGTGTTCAAGGTATTCGCTCGCAATATCACAGACAGGCAATCAGCTTCTTCGTCCGTTGCGCAAGGCATCCTGAAAGCGTTCGAGAGAGGGGAAAATGGAGGTCGATGTTCGTTGGTATCACAGTATTATATGCTTATTCCGGCTCCAACGCACAACATAATGTCACGGTACGTGGTTCTCCGCTCCCATCAGACGCGCAAGATGATATATGAAAGATCGGATGGGAGCGGGCGGGGTGAGATGTTGTTCTCGTTGTGCATTGATTGTCGGCAATACCCGATCATAGGAGCTTGAATAGTACATGATTACTGCTGTGGAGGCGATTGGGCGACTAAATACCTCCTGCAGCATCGAGCAGAGATGTTGGGGTCCTATTGGTCTCAAGCAGACGGACCTATGCTACATGATACAAACAGGACGTTGACGAGATTATAATTTGGCAAAGCGTGTTTTGTGTGAAGAGAAGAACAATACATCAATCACTTGGGATTACAAGGCTCGCCATCGACGCCAAGGCAGAAGATGCTAAATAGCTTTGTCCGGCTATATCCTTGGCCCCACGATAGGTGACGTTATCCCAGCTGTTCACAGTGAACAGATGATCATGTTAGCTGCAGGCTTGATACGAGCGGAGAGATTACTGGGTTTTGCATAATTCCGTGAACATTTTTTTTAAATTTCGCCTTACGTGGCCGGTTCGCCCACCTGAGCCGCAGCGGCAGCAGAGATTTCGATGCCCGCTCAGACCTCCATTGACGACTCAAGGCTCATTCATCTCTGCTGCAACTTTGTTGACATGCTTGTGCATGATCTGTGGAGATCTGAGAGCTCTGGACAGCGTGGCGATGAAATATTTGAGCCCAATTTCCTCCACTAAGGCTTGTTGAATTTCATCAAGGTATGTGGTTGAGTAGTCTCTAATGTAATCCCACGTTCAGTGCTTCAGCGCCGCCAAAGTTGGTCCGTGCGCAATCGGAATCTTTGCTGGTAGCCCATGCTTCTTGATCTAGCGTTAACCCTACCGTTCTCCCCGTCTCGAGTCATTACCCTACGATGGCGCCGAATCATCTCTAGTCAATACCAATGAAACGGTATGAGTTCTCGAGAACGGGGTCAGAAGACAACGGGGACATACGGTTTTCATCAGCAAAATACCCGGACGTTTGTATGGCCATTAGTATCCCCAATACCCGTTAGGTAGAACGAAACCCGCTGTACCTAGTTAAGAACAGGGTTGGCGTATATAATCGTATTAAAACTTTTCTGAAATACAGAAGAATAGTGAGAATTCGTGAGTACAATACTAGTAAAAATCCACAGATTTGCGTACCTTTAACAAGTTTTGAAGGTGATACCGGAGAGCGAAGGTTGTTGCGGGTTGTGAAGATTGTACCGGATTTTGGGGGGTTTTAACCAGTTTCGGGCAGAGCGCCGGATAACAAGGAGCGTATGGAGTTGTGGGCAGTGAAGCGGATATCAAATGTCGTAGTGGATCACGGAGAGAACAGCAGATAACATAGGTTGTCAATGATTCTTGAGACAACCAGGCATTTCAATCGGTGCGCATATTCATCACTTAGATAGTCAATCAAGTATCTCAAAGGTCAAAGGAGGATGATCATCAAAGAGTGCAAAACGCATCCATTGAGCACTACATAGAGCCACGAGTAACGATACACACATTCATGTATGTATATACATAGCGGGTGAGCAAAGCTTGAACCATACCATTGAGGATTATCACCCGAGATACTCAAGCCAGGAGGAGAGATGGTTGCATCGACGGGTTGTTGGAGCCGACATGCCTCCTTTTGGCCGTCATGTATGTTGTGTATCCCTATAAGGGTAGGGGTTAATTAATGAGTTTGTGTATCCCTTTGATAAAGCGAAGGTGTACGCACATTACAAGGCGCATATATGCGTACTGATGCATGGTAATGGTAATTGATTTGCGGGAAAATAGCAGAAACAGTCGATGCGCTATAGTGATTACGACAATCAGTGACGATAATAAGGGTGAAGGTAAGGTGCACGTACGTTTCTGCCCATCCTATTTTGTCCTTTCGGGCACTAAAGGACTTATTCAGTGTATGACGAGAAAGCCCGATGATCAGGTCGGACATACCTATACTCGAAGGATCTGGCTCGAGTTAGAACTGCTATTGAGCCATCAAGCGACTTGAGTGAGGATGACGGTCGAGTAGGTGTAGAGTTGGAGACAAGAAGAGACAGCGACGGGAAGTTGGTAGCAATGAACACTAAGGAAACAAAGCAAGGGGAGTGGTGGGGGGAGAGGAGAAAGAAGGGATGGGTGACAATTTGCAGTGCGTCTGGTTTATATAGCGGGTGGGTGGTCTGTGCGGCCACTGTGGAAGTGGTTGGGTGTGAGGAAGATGATGTCGATGACGACAGGTGACGAAGTACCTACTTCATCACTGACAGCGTCTCAACAGGTCCTCCCCAAATATAAGAGTAAAGGTTGCGGTCGTCAGTATACACCAAGTGATAGATTAGAAAAAAAACACGTACCTGTGCCGCAATTCCATCTAAATTGTCCCAAATGGAGATTGTATTTTGAAGAATCATCTATTCTGCACGTTGTTATCCGTCAATTCCATGAATTAAAGAGTTAGGCAATGATGGTGGTGGTTGAGAGTTAAGAGGGGCATGAGTTGCGCACGTGCAGGCGAGCGAGGGATATATTTCGGACTCCGACCAGAATTCAGCACAAGTGCTCAGAGGAAGCACCCGGCGCCCAGTTGCCGCCATTGGCCAAGTCAACTCTCAACCACGCCGCTCGTTGTTCAAGCTCAAGGTGAGTCATCTCTGCTGTAGATATAACATCTCAAAAACCATAAGATATGCTTTCTACCATATTGTCAGTGATTGGTATTATTCAAAAGCCTGCCAATACGTTAAAACCATCCAAAACTGGTTAAAACCCATTCAGAACTCCTAAAATCCGGTTCAACCTGTTTTGTTCATCGCGATGAGTTCAGCGGGGCACAACCCAGGATATGGTTCTTGGGGGTTTTGACGGGTTCTGGGTGAGTTTCAATCGTGTTTTGATAGTGTTCTAATACACTTATAGCCCGCCAAAATCATGTACACGGA